GGTCTGATGATGATGATGATGAATCAGAAGATGAGACTAACAATGAATTTGTAAAACTTTTGTTGGCTCTGCCTGGAATATGAGCAGGTAAAGTGGAATCTTATAATGATAGTGTTATCTAAGAATAGCTTGGTACATCCTACGAAGATACTTGTGACAAGTGTGAAGCTAATATAAAAACAAAGGAAGATCAGAGAAAGATCATAGCTCACTTGGAAAATGAAAAGAAGACGCTTCTATGTATTGTATCTCATCTTCAAAGTGAGGTGACTCTCTTAAATTTCAAGATTAATAACTGGTTAGACTCATTATAAATTTTGGAAGATGGAGAAGCTATGATAAAAGAAACTGGAGATATAGAAGGTGACTATCAAGTTAATAATGATCAAAGAGGAGTGTATATGGTGAAGTCCATCGCTTCTGAAAGTAAGAGAATAGTCAAAATGTCCAATCACATGTTACAATATTCTAGCAGACGTCATCAAACGTGGTCTAGAATTCAGTCATCAACTTGGATATGCCATTATTGTAATGAGCATCGTCATATAAAGCCTTTCTTCTATAAACTATATGGAGATAAAAAAACCTTCAGTTCATTCTAAGGCTTAGAAAGTGAGCAAAAAGAGACATGTTGATAATATGGATATGAACTTTATTCCTCAAACATCCTTAAGAAACTCAAATGGAGAAAATAGGAATGTTGACAGTTGGTGTGTTAGGCACATGACATGAGTTCAGAAGTTAGTGCTCAATAATAGGTCTCATCCTACTAGATCTGTAAGATTTTGTGATATGGTTAATAATGAAATCAAAGGAGTTGGGAAGTTGATGTGTGATGGTTCTTCTGTTTTGAAAAATGTTAGCAGGAGTCAAGTATGGGACCGAAGATCATTGGTCATTTTCTCAAAGTCGGAATGCTTAGTCAAAGATGATAAAAATTTGGTGTTAATGAAGGGTAGAAGGTCTAAGGACAACTATCATGTAAATGGACCTCAATCAAGTGCTTATTCTTTGTTCAAAAATCATTAAGGATGAATTAAAGCTATGGCACAAGAAACTTGGACATCTTCATTTCAAAAGAATGAAGGAAGTCATATCTGAAGAAGCCATTAGAGATATGTCAGAGCTAACGATTGAAGAATGGTTAGTCTGTGTTGAGTGTGATTTTAGGTCTCAATTCATGATGTCACACAAAATGTTGTAGCATCAGACTACTTCTAGAAGGTTAGTAATTCTTCACATGGACTTAATGGGACCAGTGCAGGTTGAAAGTATGGGTGGTAAGAGGTATGCTTATATGTTCATAGAAGATTTTTCTAGATATACTTGAATAAACTGTGTTAGAGAAAAATCATATTCTTTTGAGGTATTCAAGGACTTGTGTCGAAATATTCAAGAAGAGAAGAATGGTGATATTGTTAAAATTAGAAGTGAACATGACAAAGAGTTTGAGAATATAAAACTCTCTATATTTTTTGCTTCTAACAACATTAGTTATGAGTGCTCTCAACAAGGGGGAATTATTGACCAATTGACCAAGGGGTTTCTTGAATCAACTAGAGTCATGCTTCTTGCCAATAATTTTCCTTTTTACTTTTGAACAGAAGACATGAATACTGCGTACTATGATCATAATAGGATTACTCTAAGAAGAGATACTTCAGCCACTCTTTATGAGCTATGGACATGAATGAAGCCTAGAGTCAAATACTTTCATATCTTTGGAAGTAAATGCTACTACTTGACTGACCAAGGTCAAAAGGGAAAGAAGAATCCCATAAGAGTTGAAGGAATATTTATGGGTTACTCTTTGAAGAACAGAACTTTTAGATTTTTTAACTCCAAAACTGGAATATCTTTGGAATCTATCAATATGATAGTTGATGATTCAGTTGCTGAAGAGAAGGTGGATGTCAAAGACAGTGTTGGAACATCCTGTGTGTAAACTGATGAAGCACTAAGGAAGGAGATTTATGAAGTCACAAGCACTGAATCAGTGAATTCTCTATCCAATACAAGTTTGTATACTAAGGGACATATAAAACAACCAAAAGATCTGACTATATTTCACTTTGATTAAGGAAACATCACTAGATTTAATATGAAATATCAAATATAGGTGATGTTTTTCCTTGAGGAATAACTTGGATTTATGGATTAGTAAGAAGCGGGAATGTGCTTCTTTGTATCCTGTTGGAGATGAAGTTAGGGGTATAAGAGAAAGTATCTCATAACTGGTGTTAAAGAGACATATTTCCAAGAGGGATATCATGACATTTTACAGTGAAGATCTGAACTCTTTCAGATATCTCATTCAACATGACTGGAACAAGGACCTTGGTAGTTGTAAAAAACTGATCAAGAATCTTATTAAATGGAAGGTTGTAACTCTGGAGCATATGGACAATAAGGAACAACTTATTGTTACCAAAAACAATGGGATTGGATTGTGTACTATTAAGGAGTTATAACAATTACAGAAATGGAGGAATGCAACAAATGCTGCATCTTTTCTCTATATTATGAGGCATGACATGCATGGACAAATTGCTACGAAGAAGGAATGAAAGGAAGGTGGTCTACAAGACAGTGGGGATGGTTATAACACCAAGGAATACAAGAGGCTCTTTGATAGGGGCATGCAACTTTTTGACAGAGGCAAGAGGTGGAAGGCCACATGAAGCTAGACAAGAAGTTGTGTTTCCATCTGTTTGTTTCCATCTGGTGCTCATGTATCTTTGATGCATTTGAGTTGACTGATTGTTACTTGTTTATCAAGTTATTGTTCTTCTCTAAGCTTTTAATCAAAGAGTTGAGAATTGTCCTTAGTGAAGCTTTTAAGCAAACTAAGTATTTTATTTTGGAAGAGTGTTCTTCTTTTGAGTTTCTTGAGACATTTCGTGGGATTGAGAGTGTTTATTCTAGTCACAAGAATTGTGGTTGTAGTTTCTAGTCACTGGTTTGTGGTTGTAAATATCACTGTGGTAATTAGGAGTGAGAAGGATTCGCATATCTAGGAGGTTCCTAGGTATAAGTTTCCCTGGGTAGGGATTAAGTGAGAAGTGTAAATTGGGACTCTTTAGCTTGGAATTGGTACTATTGATAGTGGATTTCCTTTCTGGCTTGGTAGCCTCCATCGTAGGTGAGTTACACGAAACTGGGTTAACAATTGATTGTGTTCATTAAGTTTCTGAAATTTAGTTTTCTGTACAATCTTTCTGTTTAGCAAGTCTATTTTCTGTCAACAGATGTTATACCATCTGTCGTGACTTCTGATATTGTGTGTGCCAGAATTTCAAGCATGCAATTGATGCACTCTTGCTTTGATATGTGCATTGTAATGTATGTGCACCTTGTCATATACCTCATAGGCATGCTTGCATGAAAGCAACCTAGGCATGACTGACTCAGAGACCATAGATAACAACCAAGTGAATAGTGCTTAATCTTGCACTATCCATTCCACATACGCTTCACAAATGATATTCTCAAGACGATCACTTTCGGATTTGAAGATTGTTGGAATGCGAGGATTAACAACCATCTTATGCAGTTTGTGTGAAAGAATAACTTCTTCCACTTGTTGATTCCATAAAAAGAAAATATTTTCTTGAAGTTTGAGGGAAAGCTTAGGTGTGAAAGTGTTCGAGGAGCCTGAAAACGCCATGGTTTTCATAATAATTTGTGAATCTTGACTTTCCGTTGAGAAACTTTGTGATGGATTTTCAATATTCACCATTGTTTCGCTGAAACGATGAATTCTTTCTTTGAATCTTTGAAGAACTGAAGCTTCTTTGAAACAGAAGATCCGTGCGAAAATAAGAACACACCTTTGCTTTGATGCTATTCAGTTTCTCTAAAATACAATTCTCCACCAGTCGCTCAAACCTAGCAGATGCTCGAGGAAGAAGATCACAAATTCTCTTAATCTTGTGATACAAGTAGAGAAGTAAGCGTTGTGTGTGCAACAGAAGGATTGGTCCTTGATGCGAGTCATACCATGTTAGATGAGAGAATTGAAACTCTGTTGATAAACATGGTTATGCATGGAAGAGAGAAGAAGAACATGCATAGAGAAGATCAAACTTTGCTTGATTCTTTGTGATATTTCTCATTACAACCACAAGCTATTTCTTAACATATTTATTGAAGAGATGAAGTTAGTTACACTCTAACTAACTTCATGAACAATGTAACTTCCTTATCATGATCCCTAACTTCTCTACTATACACCTTCACTCATTCCCTATATTACATTCTAATACCTGATAACAATATTCTTGGGATTGTAGTTTTAATTTTTTAAACAAACAAATCCTTAGTTTAAAATAATTGAATACTTAAAATATCTATGAAATCATTTTAAGTATTTTTTTTGGTCAAATAATTTAATGACTATAATTTCATTTATTTAAAGTGAATATGTTAGATATCACGGGTTTAAATTCATATCTCTTGCAATCTGATGTCTATGTACAACTATCGACTGAATTAATTTAATAGAATCATTTTAAACATTTTCAATAATATAAATTTTTTAAACTATAAAAATAAACTAAATACATTAGAATATATACTCGAATATATCATAAAAAGAATATAAAATATAAAATGAAAAAATACAACAAATAGAGATATTAGTATACATTGTGAATGTTTAAAATTGAATGTCCAAATTTCATAACTCCAAACTAAAATAATTTCTCAAACTATAGAAACATATTGACAAAAATATGAGAAGGAAAAAAGAAAGAATATAGTAACATATAAAACATATGTTTTATAATAGTTTTTCAAAAATGAATTATAACATTGAGTTTTGGGAGAAACACATCTCTTTAGGGATGAGTCATATTCTCGTAAGTCCTTACAAACAACAAAGAAATATAATTAAATATAATGCACTTGATCAAGTCCAACAAAGATACCTACAATTATTACAATTTTTCATCTTAGTTTTTCTTAAACAAATCCACCCCATTTTAAAAAAAAAAGAAAAATCATCTCATTTTGCGCCTATCATTATCACTTAGTATTTTCAAATTATTAGACTGCATAGTCACAAACTCTTCATAGTTTTCATCATTTTCTTCACCACCATCACCTTTATTATTGCCACTACTCGAATTTGTAACATCTTTTTTCCTCTTCAAAACACCATCTTTAAGCCATTCCACAACCTCTATCATACTAGGCCTTTTATCTGGACTACTATCAGTGCACATAACAGCTATCATAATCACAGATTTCAACTGCTCTAAATCAAAATTTCCTTTCAATTTTGGGTCAGCAATATGCTTAAAAACACCCTTTTGTACATAGGGTGTGACCCATTGAACAATGTCCCTTTTTATTCCACCAGGTAGTTTCTCAATTGGTTTTTTCGCACTTATAATTTCCAAAAGCAAGATTCCAAAACTATAAACATCGCAACTTTCGGAAACTTTCCCCCACATAGCATATTCTGGTGCTAAATAGCCTAGTGTGCCTTTAACTCTTGTTGTGAGATGGCTTACACCTTCTGGTATTAGTTTTGCAAAACCAAAATCAGCTACTTTGGCTTGAAATTCTGTGTCTAATAGAACATTGCTTGCCTTTATGTCTCTATGGATTATGTGAGGATTTGCCTCATGGTGTAAGTACCTTAATAATCAAATACATTATTAATTCGTCATAGACGGCAAATTAAAGTTTAACTACTTTTAGAAAAACATATTAATCTTTAAATGAAATTTATATAGACTATTTCAAATATAGAAGTAGTATAATAGAGTGCATTATCAAATAAATTGCGGTCTTCCAAAAAAATGGTTATGGGGGTCAATTATTAAAAACTAAATATTTGACTAATGATGTGTTAGATTTTTTTTCCGCATCTTTTAAAGATGAATATGTGAGATAACATCAAACTTGCATTTCTGTAATTTGATATCTCTGTACAATTATCTATTAAATTGGTTTAAGGAGATATTGACGTGTTATCGTTTATTTTGAATAAATGGCGATAAATCTCATTATTTTATTCTACTAAGGGAATTTTGTTAAATAAATTTAACTTGAGTAGAGTTCTAGGAGCTTGCTTGGGTTAGAGAAAATTTAAAGGTTATGGATGTTAATGTGCCTGTTTCAAGAGGTTTTAACGTGTCACCCTCTGGTTTATACATGGTACACTCAATTTGTGATAAAAAGACTGATATTCTTATTAGATTTTTCTTTCTTTTTAAAATTTTCTTCAGCATACCGATAATTTTGAAAAAAAAATTGCGATACCGAAGATTTGCTAAGAGATATCGGAAATTCTTCAGACGTTATCGAAAATTCCGCGGCTGATAGCAAAAATTCTGTTGAACAAGTTTTTTATCAGAAATATTGGACTTTTCTTGTATACTATATCGAAAATTTTGAAAGTTTTCAAAATTTCCGTTAATATCTACCATATTTTTCGAAATTTTCGGTTTGTCCAATTTTTTTTTTTAATTTTCCAGAAATTTTCAAATTTCTAATAGTTATCATTTTTTTGTTTTTCTAATTTTTTAGTTTTTTCTATTTTTTAGTGAGGACGTTGGGGAAAGACAGGACAATTAGAGGCAGAGGATCGACAGAGCTGCCGTCCAGGCCAGGACTGAGCAGGTAGAGGCATCCCAACTTCGAGTTGGACGAGCTGCTCTGATTGATTTACACGAAAAACACATGGTTGAGCAGGCGCAGGGTCAATTTTGTGCGCACAAACACCGAGCTGGTACAAAGGTTGTTGTTGACTAGATACATATTGTTGTGGAGGTATATGTTGTTGTGGAAGTGCCTGTTATTGTGGAGGTACATATTGTTGTGGAGGTACCCGCTCCTGATATTGTTAAGGTGCCTCTTGAGACTGTTGAGTTTCCTACTGGTGATGTTGAGTTGCCTCCTGGTGATGTTGAGGTGCATGTTGATGTTGAGATACTCGTGGAGGATGTGCCTAGTCAAGAGGAGACTCCGACTGATACAGATGTTATAACCTGTACTTCTAGAAAAGCATTTGTTCACACTGGTTGAGCCTTCCCAAGAGGATCGGTGACAGGTTTGTACTCCAGACTATATCGACCATGTTGCCCACTGTTTATGGCAGGGAGAGGTATATATATGATATGTTAAAATTTAACTTATTTATGATTTATTATTGAAAATCCGTTGATTTTTTTAATTTTGTTTGTTATAGGATTGTGTCCCGCTGAAGGTGACATTCCACGGGGCCAAGTTGTAGGACTGGCCACAATGAGATGCTTGAGCAGGTTAGGACTATTGTTCGAGATTTCAGTCTCCTCGACATGACCGACTGCTCGTTGACCATGTTAGACGCTCCCCTTCTGTCTGCTTTCGTTGGCGGCGGCACTCAGAGACATCTTCCTTTCATCTTCCACTTAAGGAGATGACAATTACTTTAGATGACGTATCTGCGTTGTTCCATCTCCCCACTGGTGGGTTGTTTTTCACCGCTCCTATGATAAGCGAGTTGGATGCTATGACGGCGATCGTATAATATATGAGAGTGAATGAGAAGGAGGTGATTAAGGAGTTTGGCTACAACGGGAGTCTTCACTTGCAGATGTCTTGACTCTGGGAGAGGTATAATGACTTTGTGCAGACAGAGATGTATGAGGCTGCCGTTAGGGCGTACATGCTACATCTAGTAGCATGTACCACTCTTGCGGATAAGTCTCATAATGATATTCATGCTCGTTATGTATGGATATTCCGTGATCTTGACCATGGTAACTCGGCTTGGGGATGTTGTGCATTGACTGCTCTCTATACGGCGCTAGGAGCTGGGACTGTCTTTGAGACAAAGAGGATTTGTGGATATTTGAGTCTACTTCAGGTATGTGGTCACATTATTTATAATAGTTATTTAACTGTTACTTATGACATTTAGTTGTGACATTTCTTGTTTATTAATTGTTGTGTTTGTTTTCTGTTAATAGTGTTGGATATATGAGCACTTCCCTCGTATCGTTGATAGGAGGGAGTAATGTGTCGCAGCAGATGCACTACGGGCGAGGAGATGGAAGTCTAGATAGGCACATTCAGGAGGATTGCTGGAGTACAAGAGGAGGTTGAATGCCTGGACAGTTGAGGATGTCATCTGGACACCATACAATGGTCACAATGTCCACTATCTATCATTGAGGTGGGAGAGCATGGTGGCTAGACACCTGCCCAAGAGGTGTCTGCAACAGTATGGGTATATCTAGAGCATCCCACGGCCTGTTCCAGGTATCCCTGGTGGCGGCATTGACATTGATAGATGGTTTTAGAGTAACATCCCCAACTCAGCTCGTGCCATTACAGAGAGATTAACGAGGGTTCAAGAGGGTCACAATGTAGGGATGGATATATGGAGTGGTACCTCACAGTGTCTCATCCTCGCATCATTCCACCTACAATCGACCACTAAGTCGCGCTTTCAATTCCAACGCTCCCTTATTTAGCCTACGGCGGTATGATTTTCACACGGCCTTCATATTTTCATCGCTCTTCAACTCAACAACGTTGTAACTAACCCTGTCATCAATATTCATGCTCCAATTTTCATGGTATGAAATCTTCCTTACCTTAGTATCAGGCAACAATTCTTCTAACTTTTATGTCAGTGACTCGAGGACCATAAACTCGTCTGGAATCCGAAACTTCACTGGATCTTGTGCTCTAGCGAAGTGTACTATTGCGTCAACTAAAAATTGAGGAAGAGGCATTTTGCGATTCTGATTATTTCTCAACAACAGATGACCCCTATTTATACAGTTTTTGGTGTGTTCTGAACCATACAAAATTGTCGGTGCAATCACAACTCATCAAAATTGTCGACAAAATCGTAACCGTTGGATATAATAGTTTTTATAATCTACCAGAAATTTCAAATTCAACTAAGTTTCCGGTATGTTATCAAAAATGTTAACATTTCCGGAATAATTTGTAACGTACCAGAGTTTTCAAATTGAACTACCGTAAATTTTGCCTTTACTGAAAATCACAATGTTCTACCGAAAATTTAATTCAAAATACTCTTCTATTTCATCACCATGGACACTTTGACCATTATGAAACTCCAGAGAGTGCTATGTATAAATTTGAGAATAACATGTTAAAATCTCATGTTTCAGTGAGATTCTTGCCGAGATTTCCCCACTTAGAACTTCAAAAGATGGATAATTTTTTCTCACATGGTGGAGGTGGGAATAGGGTACGGAGAAAATTTTTAATTGCAGTGATAGGGAAGTATCCTCCACCTCCTTCTCGAATTATTGATATTAGTATATTTTTATTTTTAACTTAGATATACACAATATCTAGAGGAATTATTGAACGATAGATTCTAATAAAATTATGGAGAGGTAAAATAAAGGTATACTCACGCTAAACCTTCAGCTGCACCAATTGTTATGTTCATTCTTCTAGACCAATCTAGTAAACAATCAGAGGCAAGTTGACCATGTAAATGAGTGAGTAAGCTATGATTAGGCATGTAATCATACACGATTAACCTTTCATCTCCTCCTGCATAGAATCCTCTCAACCCTAACAAATTTCTGTGCCTCACCCTTCCAAGTACTTCCACTTCAACTGCAAATTCCATCTCCGCTTTGGCAGTCATTGTCTTCAACCTCTTCACAGCAATCTGCATATGTTCCATTCATCAGTGTCACAAAAATACAAATACACAGATACTGATATGTCAAGTCAACACATGTGTCTGTGTCGAACGCCAGACACATATTTGATCAAAAAGTGTTTGTGTTTCAAAAATTATGATCGACAAAATACTTAAGAAACTTTAGTAAAAAAAAATTTAATTGCCTCGACGCCTTTATTTGTTTGACCCCAATAAACACTTCCAAATCCACCTTCTCCAATTTTGTTATCTTGATGAAAGTTATTTGTTGCACGAAGCAACTCCTTCAAAGTGTATCTTTCCCATGGATAATCCCTACTATTTTTCTTCTCATCAACATTCCTAACAAAATCGAAGATACATCAAACATAACAAAAATCAAGTGTTAATTAATTATATCATTGTATCTAACACCAATAGGTAAAATAATATATTGAAAAAATCTATAATCTAAAAATTTATTTGTATGAGTATGCATACCGTCTTGGACTTTGCTCTTCATTAGAGAGAAAACAACATAAACATTTCAAGGACATATTTTGTTACAAAATCTTTAGGTATGATGGTATTAAGAATCTAAATTCCTTAGTGGAAAATAGATGAATAATACTAAGAACTTTTTGAGGAGTGGAAAAAATTAGATTTGAAAGAAAGATGAAAATATGTATCGGCAAATGCAAAGAAAGAACAAGAAACAAAAGAGTAAAATAAAAATAAAAACATGAAATAGAAAATGACTTACGATGACGACAAAGGGGCTGCCTTCAAAGTCAAGGACTCTAAAGCCAATTCAATGAGTATTAAATGTGTCAAAATGCCTTAATAGTAGAGACATAGGCCAATTCAATGATATATTATATAAACTCTCATTGGTATATACTAGTGTTTGTAAGCTTTTGTCAAACAACATATTCCATTGGAAATGTCACACATTTATATAATATTCAATTTAGATAAATATTCCTAACGTTTTATTCAATATGTGCTATATTTGTTAGCGGGGTAGGTAATTTAATGGATAAAAAATAAATTAGACTTTAGTACTATTTCAAAATTTAATCATTAGACATTGACATGATCTATTTTATTTTTCTGGTGGAACAGCTTTAAATTGACCATAGAGTTGTTTGTTTATGTAACCTTTTTATATTACTCAAGTTGTGTATGCAACTTAGGAATTTGGATGTCTAATGAAGATTGTTAAGAGATTGGCTTCTAAATAGCTGTGGCTAGCTCATATATTATGTACATGTTGAAAAAAATTACCATAGGTAATTATGCTTTGGGGATAAGTTGTACCAAAATAGGGGTCCAATGAATGGTTTGGTCTATTTAAGACAAATTTGTTAAAAATAAGAATGATAAAATATTTTTATAAAAAAACATAATATTTTTCAAATCAGTAAAAGTTGATAGAGAGAGTTATTTGTTGGAATTTAACGAGATTTTTAATAATAAATATAATATTTAATATGTATTTTCATCTGAAAGACTACAAAGTCAAAATTTGAGACATCACAAAGAGATGATTTGTCGCACCAATGCTGACCTGATCAAAAATGACATATGGAGATTTAGCGTTGTATATACGGAAAAAGATGACACTATAATCAACACCGAATTAAAGAGAGTGAAGGGTCCAAACCACTCTCTGGAAGCAGAAGCCATGGCGCTTTGCATGGCAATGGAGTGTGCAGTTTCAGGAAATTTTAGTAAAGTGGATTTTGTTAGTTGGTTAATTTTTGTTATGGAGTTATTTGGGCTTTTAGTTTGTATTTGGGTCTGGACATTTTTGTCTATATAAATGGTCATTGTGTTTGTAGTTAACAAGTGCAGCAAATAATACAATTCAAACATAATTAACTCATCATTCTCTCTCTCTCTCTCTCTCTCTCTCTCTCTCTCTCTCTCTCTCTCTCTCTCTCTCTCTCTCTCTCTCTCTCTCTCTCTCTCTCTCTCTCTCTCTTTTCTTCTTCTTATTCTTGTTGTTTTCACAAAATCATCTTTCTTGAATCCTTTATTCCAACATTGGTATCAAGAGCTTGTTTGCGATTCAGAGTGAATCTAATGGCAAACGGATCAACAACATCAACACAGTTTCCAGCAAATTTACCGGTTTTCAAAGGTGAAAACTATTAACGATGGGTGGTACAAATGAAGGTTATTTTCATATTTCAAGATGTTGTAGAAATCTTGAATGATGAAATATCACAACTAGATGTAGATGCTACAGAATCTCAGAAAGCTACGCACAAAGGTCAGAAGAAGAAAAATGGCAAGGCGTTGTTCTTGATTCACCAGTGTGTGGATTGTGATGTATTTGAGAAGATAATTGAAGAAGAAACAACAAAAGGAGCTTGGGAAAAGCTAAAATCTTTGTATGGTGGAGATGAGAAACTGAAGAAGGTGAAGTTGCAGACTTTGAGGAAGTAGTATGAGATGCTTCAGATGAAAGAGAATGAATCTATTTCTGCATATTTCTCAAGAGTTATGGCGCTAACAAACCAGATGAAGGCATGTGGTGAAGCGCTTACAGATCTGCAAAAGATAGAAAAGGTATTGAGATATTTAATTGCAGACTTTGATTACTTTGTTGTAACAATTGAAGAGGCCAAGAATCTATCTGAGATGAAGTTGGAAGAACTTCAAGCTTCATTGGAGACTCACGAAATGAGGCTGCAGCAGAGAAACTCAGAAAGAGAGAAGACAATTGAACAAGCATTGCAATCAAGATTCAGCAAGAAAGCTAGAAAAGAGAAGTCAAAGTAGCAAAAGAATCTTGCTGGTGATGAGAAATCAAGCAAGAATATTGATTCTAAAGGTGTGGGCAACAAGTATTCTGGGAAGAAAGTTGACACGAAAGAGGTGCAATGTTACAATTGTCAAGGTTTTGGCCACTATGCTAGAGACTGTCGAAGAAAGAAAGCTGTGAGGTCGAAAGATAGTGATGAAGCCCAATATGCACGAGCTGGAGATAGTGATTCTGATGATGTGTTATTGTTGGTGAACGCTCAATCGACTATTGAGAAAACAACATGTGGTATCTGGATTCAGGATGTAGCAACCAGATGACTGGCAATAAAAACTGGTTTACCAAGTTAGATGAGTCAGTCGAAAAGGTGATAAAGTTTGTAGATGGAAGGCATATCAAGTCAGGTTGTAAAGGAGATATTTTGATTATCAGGAAGGATGGTCGAAAGGCTACTATCACTGAAGTTCTATATGTACCTTCAATGACAAGTAACTTGATAAGTGTAGGTCAATTACTTGCAAAAGGCTTTAATATGAAGTTGGAGAATAATCAGATGAAGGTATATAGGGATGATGGGAGGCTAATCATGAAAGCACCATTTGGCAGAAAACAAAATGTTCAGGGTTGAACTCAACACATCAGATCACAAATGTCTTGCTTCAAATACAGAAGAAGACAAGAATTGGTTATGGAATCACATGTATGGACATCTAAACTTCAAGAGTTTATGTATTCTCAATAAGAAAAGAATGGTGCTTGGTGTTGTACCCCAAAATTTTCCCTCTCATTTTACTCAAAACATGCTCATTGAAGTCCTCAACTTGCTCACGGATTGACCAGACAAATCCTCCTCCTAAGACAATGAGCCTCAAACTCGGGTTTCCATTTTCATCCAGATGTTTGAGTTCCAAGGGTCCCAAATGATTTCCATAGCCCTAATATTTTCTCAAGATCATCCATGTCAAGTTTCATGCCTTGCACAAGAAGTTTGCTCAGGCAACTGCTCAAATGCTTGAAAATCAACTGTACTAGGTCAAAAGTCAACTGTGACCCACATACAGTCAAATTCCAAGACTTTTGGTCAACATCAACATTTTGAAGTAACATCCATCATTTGATCAAGGGTTGATCATGATTCCTTAAGGAATTCCCCAAATTCATCAAAACTCAAAAGTTGCTAAATTAGGGTTTATATAGGAAAAGTCAATCAAACTTTGACCAGGCATAACTTTCTCATACTTTATCAGAAATTTCTCATCCAAGGCTCATTGTGAATAGGATGCAATTACCTACAATTTATCTTCAACCCTCAAGTTTAAAAAGTGCACTCATGAAAAGATATGAATTCAAACATTATAGGTCATTTCAAAAAGTTAACAAAAACACCTTTTGGGTAAAAGCTTATTACATGAACATGGAAGATCCAATTGAGGTGAAACCAAAAGGGTTGTTTAGAGGACATCCTAAGATTTCTAAAAAGTCCAAGAACACCCTCTTAGGGTCAAAATTGAGAGAGATGTGCAATGTCAAAGTTGGCTATTTTTGGAAATTTGCACAAAGTCAACCATTCCCAAAATGCATTTTTCTTCAAATGGGCCCAACTTTTTATGCTTGCATCTTGTTCCTAACATGGTCCATGACCCATAAAACACTCCATGCATCATTTTCTTATTTTTTGATTTATTTTAATTTTTAATAATTTAAAATCCAAATTAATATAAAATTATTTTGGGATGATTTTGCATTAAATAATGAGAACACAGGCTGTATGATATCAAGCCAATCGTGCAAGCCAAGAATAGACACAAAATATCCACATTTGGAAATTTTTCAAGATTTGATTTCCTCTTAAAGCCATGCCTTTATTCTTTGGATTTGATCCCAATTTGTTAACCTATTTTGATTCACATACATATAGCAGGGCATTCTAAACCCTAAGGACGAATGGACATAGGCGTAGCTTGCTGAAAGAGTCAAACAAAGTTTCAAATTTCAAAAGAAAAGTGCAGATCAAATTTCATCCTACAGGCCAATTCAAGGAATTTTGGAGCATCAGTGATCATCCACGAAGGTCCTTGAAGCCATTCCAATCACTCTCAAGTCATAAAACATCCAGAATCGTAAGATACAGATCACAGTTTGCACCCTTATAACTTAAATTTGTTTTCGTGGTTTGACATGTTTTAAATTGAATTCGTTTGCATAAATGTATTTATAATCATTCTTGGAATCTATTTGAATGTCTGGATTTGAGTTTTAGCGCAGGAACGGGCTTACGCCATTGCTAGGGTTTGAAAGCTTCAAATTAGGGATTCTCTATAGAGGCAAAATTAGGACAGATCAAGGGTACCAATGAACTCAAGTCATAATTTCTAATTGATCTATGGCCTTAGTTAGGATTGATTTGGCTTGTATTACATTTTTAATTGTTGCAGGTTTATAACTATGGATAAAAACTGTCACTATAGCCTTTAGTGACAGTTTTGCCCGTAGGTAAAGGGTTTGGCATAAAAGACGACAGTCTATGGAGAAGACAATGATGTAGACGATAACTATTGGAGGATTTGAAAAAGCACACGCTTCCTGAGGCATATCATGTTATTTCTTTTATAATGTTATTATGTTATTATACTAACAAATAAACACGACAACATGAATGAGAAAGGGTAGCGCTGGTGAGAGAAAGGACCTGGGTTTGATCCCAGGTCCAAGAATATTGTGATTTTATTTTCTTAACGTGTTTTACAGGATCCCATGTGCCTCCCAACCAACGCGTCCATCCTA